CAATCAAAAACGGAATAGGAACCGCACAAAGCTACAAGATCTCTTTTATTAATATCTCACAATTAGAAACCCTCTAAAGCAGAAAATTGACCTTCTTCGAGGACACAATTTAGGAAAGACGTTATTGGCTACTGAATACTTATAAAGTACTGACGTGTTTATCGACGTTTTCTATAATATCCACTTGAATTTACCAGGACGGTGAAAATTGACTGGAAGTCTGCATACTGCATGCGTACTCATTTAATGGCGAGTGTAGTGTCCTAAGTGAAGTGCGTTCAAAAGCCGACATTCTGGCGTGTCTGAAGTACGATGAAATTATGTTGCGCAATGATCGGTTACACAAGCCGACTGAAGTTGTCCTTCCTAATCAAAAAACCTTTCAGAATTTTGGTTAGCGTTCCATCATATCAGTCAGTGACTCTAAAGTATCCATTACTTAAATTTATTCAATCGACTGTGAACGCCTGCTTCCTCATCACAATGTCGACCTGCCCACTGCGACACAAACGCCCCCTCTTACTTACCGTCGGCAGTGTGACGCGCAATCTTTACCGTGGAATAACCGTGTTCTACTACGACTTCGAAGCTAGCCGCTGAAAGAATTTACAGTAGTAACTTCTGAATCAGTGCAAATTTTGTTGCATCGAGTCTCACATATAAGAGTGTTTGAATCCTCTTGGAATTCAGACTCCGATCGAAGTGCTGTAACAGAAATCAGGCTGAATAAGGAACGGTTGATATCGCAGGTAGTAAGCGATTAGTCGAGTACACTGATTGCATTCTTCTGAACGATCTGAGAGAAATGTATCCTCGGTAGGCTAAATATGCTGCTAAAATGGTATGCAGATATTGAGAGTAAGGTTAGGACATATGTGCTTTTCCGCCGGAGAAGTACCGAAGTTGCTATTAACCACAACTTTGACGTTTTTTCCCAAGAAGCTATTATCAGCTAATGCTGTTCAGACTCCATGCAGTACGGACTAGTCTGTAAATGAACATTTACGTTCAGTTCAACAGTTAGTCTGCGTGCTTATTTTCATGTAGGCAACTAGAAGAGATTGGGGCAAACCACTTGCAAAAGACTTTTAATATTTTTCATAGCAGTCAACGGGATACGGTGTATGCGCTATCTCATGAATGGTTTATCAAAAGGTGGATATGCGTTTATGGTTAAAAAAAGAACACACTAGTACACAGCACAGCACATAATCATAGCATAGTACCGAGATAGTTAAAGCACGTGAGGACAGCAGCTTTTGAACAAGCTGAGGCCTGTACAATATAAGCTCTGTGAATGAGAGGAAGGTGAATTGAATTGTGCCCTTTACGCTTTAAACGACGCTTTATGATTGGTTGCCTAGGTCTGTTCCCCTCTTTATTAAGGTGGTTTTCCTTGCAGATTCTCCAACAGGCACACAAGAAGCAGGTCGAATTTCTCCTCCGGTTCCCACGCAAGGGATTCTTCAAGCTGCAGCTCTACGCCCTGCCTGCGGAGAACCACGACGATTCCCCGACAAGGGTATACAGCTATTTAATTGAGGCCTCCACGTGCTATCAGATGCATGGTCCCATTGTGCCTTTCCCGAAGCAGTCTCATCGTTGGCGACGTGGTTGTTACTTAAAGACACCGATCGATGGCATCCTTGGTCTAGATGACAATGGAAAATTGAGCGGTAAACCTCCCCGTGGCCTGCCCTTCAGCGTCAGCGTACCAAATGCCATTGCCGTGGCCGTGGTCGTTGGCGACGAATGCACCGCCCTGAACTCCGAGGCTGACCGCTGGAAGGGCAACGTGCACATGAAACAACACTGGGGCAAAGAGAAAAAGCTGACCGTCCGTGCAAAATACTCCGCCAGCGATACCGAGTACAGCACTCTACTAGAGTACTCACTAGCTTCGTAACCGCCAACGACCGTTCTCTACTTTCACCCACTTCATCTTCTGCCGCTCTAGTCGAAATGGCTGCCGTCTATTCAAAGATTCCCAGGGACTCCCAAGGCTCCCTGCACTCTGCCTGTCCCGCATCCATCCTAAAACACGTTACATTATACACATGTGT